CTGCCCCACCTCACTGTTAATGGTAAAGTTGACACCGAACAAATTAAAACACTGACCTGCAGCTCTTTCATCTGATTGCTGAGCTCATTCTGCTTGTGTAGCGCTTCATCAACCTGCCGACTCAAGTCGGCGTTCTCGGCTGTCAGCTGAAAAATAGGACGATCTATTCAAAGCTGGCAAATTTTTGAACTTACTAAGAAAAACTTAGATGTAAAACTAGTTGAGGGATGCCACTCGGCAGCGCGTCAATTTCTTCTCTGTGAGATTATACCCCGCGACTTTGGTTGTCTGCGCTCTGCCCAGCATGCGCCTTGGCTAGGGAAGGGAAATAAACGCGAAGCTACATGGCAAACCTCAACTACTTCTTCTGACAACCTATCGCAGTTCGAACAAAGACGATGTTGGAAGACTACTTGGAAAAAACTCATTTTCAGGAAAAGAAAGTTACCTCGCGTTCTCGGCAGCTTTTGTGGGAGATCTCTCGTAACAGTTTTTCCACTACTACGGACTGTGCAGCATAATCCTCGCCTCTTTCGACCACTTGTGCATGCAGTGATACGATCTGAAAAAAGAATTCAAGCCGTATGTCATATTTTATTTTTGGCTTGAATGTAAGGCTGGGTCTCTTGTTGAACAATTAACATAATTTTGGGCGCTAAGTTAGCTGGGGCGAAAGGGGGAGGGGGGTGTTTTGTCAGCCGTATGCCTCCTTTGATCAAGACCCGAACTCAATGGAGACTTCCTGGGATTGTTTTCCAACAACCCTTGTTGTTTTTTGAGCCTAACCTTTTTTAAAAAAGGACACAAATGTGCGACCAAGTGTTCCCTCCCCCCAACATGTTATACCTTATTTTGTAACGTTTTCTATGCTAAAAATCAGGTGATAACAAAAATGAGGTATTTGAAGGGGAGGAGGAGAGCAGTCAACAGAAGCGAGACAACGCCGCGACGAAAAACGCCTTTGTCTGCTTGTCTACGTCCTCTCAACGAGATACTGCTCGTACAGAGGCTCTCTCCTAGGCCGTGGAAGAAGAGCGGGGGAGGGATGTAGCCATAGCGCTGCTTCAGGGTCACGTCAACTCCCCTCAACTCTATGATGGTTGCGTTTTCAACCCTCTAATTTTAACCAGTACAAAACTCTGAAAGTCTAAAAACAGCTGAAAGTCGAAAAAGTTTTGGGGGAAAACTATCACTCACCTGCTGTTGCGCTAGTTCAAACTGCCGTGACACCTCTTCGTATCGGCTTCGATCGCGCTCGATTTGTGCCTCCATTTCTTTTTTCATTGAGAACACCTGAAAAACCATTTAGTCAGGAAAGAATCAATAATCCACTGACGGGTCAAGTCAAAAAATCAATAGTGCTTACGTCATGTCTGAGCTTGATATTCTCCAACTTGGTTTTTTCCAAGCGTTTTTTCAGAGGAATCATCTTGTCGCTCTCCTGGAATTTAAGTCGCATTGATTGGAACAGAAACTATCTTTAAGAAGATTTCGAAGTGATTCCACGACAGCAGTGTGGGCGGAGATTCATAATCGTTGCACCTCATCGCGCGTTGCATTCCATGCAGAATGCGTAAAGCAGAACGGTAAGCCACCGATTGAGGACACATGACTGTGTAGACTCCGACCATAATATTATCGTCCGGGATGTGTCCACTCACCGTAGTCGAGAGGACAGGCGATAATATAAAAAAAGTAAATGCATGGAACAAATATAGGATATGTACATTTACTTGGCAAAAAACGGTGTAGCGGAACGTGAGTGGCTGCACAACACAAGGGGGGCAGCCTGTTCTTTCAATTTACGGTCGGAAAGATAACACGAAGAAAACTCAAGTCTGTTATCAATGCAAGGTGCACTCAGAGCAGTCGCTGCGCGACCGCACGCAGCAAGGACCTACAACATGCATGACAGTGGGTTATGCAAGCAAAAACGAAGTGCACCTTTTGTAATTTTACATGGCGCGTCTACATCGTGATGTGAAATTCACGGATCTTCAGGACTTAATTAATAGAGCCGCTTAGGATTACGCGTTAATTATGGGAAATTAAGTCACTATGCCGTAAACATGATAAAATACTCTAGTGACAGGAATAGGAAAATAGAATGTCAAAACAGTCTTACCGAGTAAAGCCGTCGTCATCGTAACGGCAGTAGACTCGGAGCAACTCGGCTTTTCGGTCAAGTTCATGCTTCATTTGAACCATTTCCTCAGAAGCGTTTCGCCTAGCTTTCTTCGTAGGAATCTCCGTGCTGAAACCCGCCCCCGCCATTATAAAATTCGAAACTTTTTTTTCATCTCCCTGGAAAATCGACGATAGAAGAAACAAGGAGAAGGAGAGTTGAAGAGAACGTACCGCTGCTGCAGATCTCGATTCTGCTCCAGCAGCGATTGACCGATCTTGGCGGCGATTTCGAGATCATCACGCGTTCCTTTCTGTAACATCGATCATAAACAATACAAATGAAACAAAATAAATACAACATGAATTTAAATTCGGTTCCGCTTGTATACAACGAATTCTTGACAAGTAAACTGTAAAACGTAGAAAGTGCTGAAAAAATGCTGTTACAAAGTACAGAAAGAGTAAGGGTCCTCCGGCTGGGACAAGGCCTTTTAGTTGCCCTGAGCCAGAAAGCCACGCCAGTGAATCAAGGCATTATGAACCCCAGTTTGATATGCCTCAGATTTAGAGCGACAATAGATACTTCAACCTTTGCTTCTTGTTCAAACAGCTCCGTGGCTAATTCTCACCAATCAAATACGGTATTACGGTATCTGTAAGAGCTGACCTGCATGAGTTTCTCGTAGATACAGTCGATCGTGGACGTCGCGTTGTTCGTCGCCGTAGCCCTCGTCGCCCCGATGGCCTCGGTTGACATCCGTGGACGACTTGCCGTCTTCTCTGAAATGACGTGATAAACTCGATTCGCCGATTATCCGCGCATGACGTCACTTCTTATGACAAAGAAACGTTCACAGCAGTAACCTGGCAAAAAAAAATTTCGTTCTTTCATAGTAAATATTTTCCCAAAAAACAAAACAGAATTAAGAATGGGAATTTCAGAGAAGGTGAACTTTATGAAGCTCGAAAAGAAATTCCTCATAGAATTCTATTAATTATGAAAAAAGCGCAAAGAAAATAGTTTCCGAGGTTGCATAACCTCGTTTTTGGACGCGCCATGCACAATTTTCCACTCGGAATTGTAGCACCACCTGAAGTGGGTCTTGAACCGAGACAATGACTTTCGGGAATGCACAAGGCAGGCTCATTCTCCCAGAACACATGGTACCAAATTATCAGTCAAGGGGATGAAAGGTTTGATTGGTCCAGACTGGAACCGATCTGAAATTCGATGCCAGGCTCGTAGCGAGTGGAGCCCACGGCGAGAACACCATTTCCACCATCATGAGTAATCATCACTTAAACCGGGGCAGTGTACTTTGAATGTACGGAGGGTCACAGAAGAATAACCAGTTCTACTCGTTTGGTACACGAAAAACGTCATGAGTAAAGTGCTGACTGGGAAGACATCAAAGGATTTCTAGCTGGGGACTACGTGCTCCTATGTACATTCTACAGTGCGATGGAGTGCACTTCACAAAAACAGCGAAAATAGCGAGCGGGATTCGCATGGAAAGTATGATTATGAAAAAAAATTATTCGAAAAAAGCCGAATTTGTAGGAAAATTCGTTAACGAGAGGAATTAAAAAACTTGCTGTTGCCCCCACGAGCTTGTTTAGTAGCCATTTTATTTGATGAAAAGGCCCCAGAACAAAATAAGAAATTCTGCCGTTCATCAAAAAGTACAGGTATCAAATTCCCCGCTTGGCTTCTGCAACAGCAATTTGTCGAGCCTTTTTTTTTTTGCTTATATCGAGTCAGAATCACAGATCGTTAGAGCATCAACGGTAGACTTAGAGTTCTTGTTCAGGTGCTTAGGCAGTATTTCAAAGTGGACCCTTCCTCTCAAGGCAGAGATTTTAAGCCACGCCTATGCGGACAGTTATTATCTATGAAATACACTTTGTAAAAATGTGAGACCATTAGACTGAGAGCAATTCAGCGGATTTTATGACAAGCCTATGCTGTGACGCGAAAAATTACATGAGGATACTTTTGCTCTACCGGAAGTCGGAAATGTGGGAGTGAATTTCGGATAACTTTGTATTCTGGATATATTTGTGTTTTGTAGAGAGCGTTGATTAAGCTGTTCAAAAGTGTCTGATAGAACACTTGATGAAAATAATGGTGCGGAAGGGTCAAGTATTCGGAAAACGATAAACGAACGACATTCTCATTTGGGCGGTGGCATAGAAACTCTAATGAGAGCAAGTGTGTGTAAGTATGCACCCCATCGCTGCCACCCACTAAACGATCAATTAGCTGTTTCGCAACTCTGGGTGCAAAAGAGGTCCACGGCGCACTCCAGTTGTCCACATACTCTGTGGGGAAAAGCGAAGACTGCATGCTAGGCTACCTTTCTGCACTCTCGCTTCGGGTTTTGAACGGGTAATGTTGTTGTGAACAGAAATCGTATCAAATCAATAGTCTAGGGTAATCTATCGCCCTGGGGTGAATGAGAGAACAAACAAGTAGAGGAATGTAATGCTGGCGTCTTAGAAGCCTAGCGAACCCTACCACGACGCAGGACTAACCTAGAGAAAAGAAAAAGTATCTTGGAAGTACCTGAGCTCTGAAGAAAGAATCGGAAGAATCTGAAGGAAAAGGAATGGGGCTGGAAGGATCTCGAATTCGCTAGGAAAAACGAGAAACTGCGCCCGATGGACAATCAGGTTGATTACCAACTCAGCTGCTAAAGATTTACTTTGACGCGAAGAAGGTTCAGTATGGAAAGGGTGTAAAGCCCTTGTAATAAGTAATGCAAGCAATTCTTTGGTCGTTATTTATATGAATGAGGTATTTTGATCCTTCTTGTGGCCAGTAAGTCCTTGACAAAAGTTATTTTCATCAATCTATGCCAATATGGTGAAGAATATAAGAATAAAAGATCTAGTTAGTTGCTAGGTTTCGTAAAACGAACAACAGTGAAAAGAATCGACCGCCGAATAGAGCTCGTCATCGTATGGAATGCTAGATGACTCATTAGCCACCTTCTAGCCATCAATGGTTTTACAACCGATCAGGCCAGAACCGCATGCCACTCGACCTCTAGCCTCGTCATCAAGCACGCCATAATATTCTAATAAGCACCAGACCACCACAGATTTGTCCCAACAGGTCACATCACTGACAATGGCGTCAACAACATGAGTGGAGAAACCCATATGATTGACACGCCCGTTGGAGCAGTAAGATCACTGGCGGGCTTTTGATATGAAAGGAGCTATCCAAGTGCATCCATGAAAATCCCAGAGTACCTAAAGATTCAGGAGAGCTCCGTTGCCGAATGAACCCGGAAGGCTTGGTTGTGGGAGAATCCTGGAAAATGGTATCCCCATCTGGTCACTGGTGCCGTAATTTTACTCGATTTCATTGTCGACCGAATGTCCGTCAACCCCCCCCCCCTCCACCCTGCTCCACCCCTCTCCTCTCCGCTCTCAGCACGAAGGATATTGGGCAAGGAGGTGGACAGACCAAAAGTGTGCCAGCCTACCCTCCCACATGCTGGATTCTGGGTAAGGAGGTGGAGACCAGATGACAGACAACTCGTAACTCGGAAAATTCATTATCGAGATGATATTCTTTAATTGACCCGAAAATGAGTCGTGAAAGCTTTCGCCTCCCAAACTCAGCTGTCGCTAGGAGACCGCGAAGACTTCTCAGAAGTTTCGCTGAACCACAAAGTTGGTTTCCTAGAAGTTCTCGAAATCCCAAGTAAAGCGAGAGGAAAAAAGAAT